GATATCCATCAATACGCAGCAAAATAAATAGGTCGTCTATTGGAAAAAAAGACTAATGAAGAACCGTGATGCATCATTGTTTTTGTGAGACTGTGATTACTGAATACAACGATTCAGAGGAAAAATAGATATTAATAAAATATCAGATAGGATGATGATTTCTGCACAAGATTTGAAAAATACATAAATCTCTTTGCAGCTGAATGATGAAACGAATAAACGTAATGCGATAAAATATTTTCCACGCGCTAAAATGGCGATGTTTATCCTAAATCTTTTTGACGGAGATCGATCTTCCATTTTACTCTGTCCTTCCTCACTGATGATAGCATCTGTAAGAAAAATCGTCGGTTATTATACTGCCGCGCGAGAACGCGTAATGATGCTTTCCGAAGGCAAGGCGAGCACAACGGGAAATCGTTCCCTCAAGAATAATCCGGCGAGGAGATCCCGCAGATTTATCCCGCTGTGTTAGAGAGTGCCGTTTGCTTCTTCGCTCCGATAGAATTGCCGATTAGTGCAATCCTTTTTCCTCGATACTCGCTGACGTTGCAGTAATTAAACCTCGTTCAGATTATAGCTACGTCGTCGAGGGTTCGGCGCCAAGATACCGGTTAATGTACAGCTTGTAATGGGTATTTAATGCATTCTCTTAAGGTCGCAGCTAGTGTAAGCTAGTTCTGGCGTTCTTGCGAGTTGCCGTGCTGTTAATATTTATCAATCGTCGTTCAACTTTCGATAAAGTGCGCCAGATATTTAATTTTAGAGATTTTTATTTATTATATATTTATTATATGTTTTGCTGATTTAAAGTTTAAACTATATAAAAGAAATAATTATTTGAATTTTTTTATCTAATGGTTCTTTCTGTACGCTTCAACGAAACTTAAATGCAAAAGTAGAAAAAGAGAAAGAGTGATAGAATTTAAAACTATTTTAACCTAATTAAGCATTAATCGGAGCTTGTTCGGGAGCGTATTTGACCCTTTACCACGCCTGATCGCAACAGAGTGTGTCTCATGAGAAAATAAATTATTTAGAGAAGAGAGCCACATAGAGAGAGAGAGAGAGAGAGAGTGGCTCTCTTCACAAGAGCCATATAAAATTAAACGTTTTAACGAATGGCTGCGCAATTTCCCTCTTTCTTCCTTCTTTTCCTCTTTCGCCCTCTTGTTTCTCGGCAGTATATTTTCACTTGGAATCTTACGAGGCTCGTGATAAATGCGAATCGTAAAATGGCAAGAACAGATCTGGAGACGTAATTAAGAAACGAGGAACAGTTTCGGTGTAAGAAGAGCACGGCGTGGCACATAAATCTGCTTTTCAAATTAAATTCAGCTTTACAAATCCGTCGTGTCCGACGGTAAAAGTTACTCCATGAAAGAACGAACGTATAAGATAATCGCACTTGAGAGTGTTTTCTCGTGTCATCGGCGAGAGAATACGAAATATTATAATTTTAGTCGGGATTATCATAATTTTTATCTCGCATAAATCCATATTATTCGATCTAGCTTTGACACGCGCGTCGTCGAAATCCCGCAAATATGTAAAGCAGAATATAAAGTTTGCAACGAGAAAAATATAGGTCACACATTCCCCGTGAAAGTTATCATATATAGGTATACGTTTCGAAGAAAATATACTCCGATAATTCCAGCGTTTCGAAGTTTGATTAGAAAAAGCTCTGCTAGAGTTACGCTTTCTCCTCTAGTCATTAAATTTACGTTCCAAATGTTTTTAACGTCTCTAATGTTTCATCAACTCTGATTAGATTGTCTGAGTATGACGTCAAAGAGTCGCGTACCTAGTTTTGACAAACTATCACACGCAAGTGCTTTTCGCCCGAAAAGTAATTCAACCACGGTGCCTAATTTCGCAGTTAAATGAAATTTCGCCCCAGAGCTTTGTCCATGGAGCTTGTAGCGAGATGAAGTACCGCGATCCTGAGCACACCGGCGAATGAGGAAGATTGTTAATACTGATTTCAATGTTTAGAGCATATACCCTGTCAGAGCAAGAGCGTCGTACTTGTTGGTCATACGGTTCACTAATAATTGCTAAAAGCCCTAATTTCACTGGTCGAGAGTGTTTTCATCGTGAAACGTACGCTGAACCAAGCGACAGAGAGTAGAGATTGAATTACTTAATATATAAGTACTTACCGAAGTCTGCTTTCGTCGATCGGCAAATTCAATTTTAACGTCATATTTAAGACATATAATTAAACATAGTTTGCATGCGCATACTAAATTGTTACTTGACTTCAACATTTTATTAGATTAATACAAAGATATTATAATTTTATTTCTGTTACTTTCTAATTATTAAATAAATGCCATTATGTAGATTTCGGACATTTCTTACCCGTGAATATTTCTCTGTATTAATTATTAATTTTTGTCAACAATTCATTCAACATAATAAAATGTAAAATCTTGTCAAGTACTCGTATTAATTTTAGTTCTCTTTTTTCAGTTTTCGTAAGTTGAAAATTTCGCGATATTTTCAGCGAATATATATATATATCTTTGCACTGATACAAAAAGAAAAACATTGTTCTGCAGCTGTTGATACATATCTACGATATATTTACAAATATGATAAAACTTTTCTGTACTTTCCTGTACACAGTAGTCAAGCTGAAATTTAAAATGAATATGCAAGGCAACGAGGTCACTGATTGTTTTTGTCAACCTCATCTTGCGCATTATTTACACTTATATTGACTTTCATTTCGGTCTCGGTTTGTACCTTGGTTTTCGTGGCTCGGATTAGGCGTCGTTGCTAACTCCAAAACAAACATTTGCTTATCGTTATTCGCGGATGAGTTTCTCGAAATAACACGGAACAACCATTGAGAGATCTCCGAAATGCTGTAGTGCCGCCGAAAGCTGCTACGCACAGAATTCTATGCCGAGCAAACGGGGCCGCGAGTTATCTGCCGCTTTAGATATTAATTGGGGCGATACAATTTCCACAGTCCTCTTCATATCTCGATAGATGCATTACAGTCTGTTCGTTCGTATGGATACTTATGACAGTGTGCGATGTACATGATAACTTCTGACAATGCCAACTGACACACGTACGCATCTATTGACTACCAACGTCACGGTTACGCCTATAGATCTAGAATCTAGAATATTTCGACGTACTTGCCGGCTTGTGACCGATGATTGACCTATTGTATTAGCCAAGAACTAACTGATGGAATTATCACACTGTTTGTACGAGAATCTATGCTAGAATTATGTATGTTCTGCTGATGGCACCGCTAATTGAATCTGTATTAGCTCAAAGCGCAACCGATATAAAACACTAAAAATAGGTGAATTGTAATATCGATTCACATTTTTAATAATATAATTTTAGCTCTTTGTATTATCCTATTATTACATTCTCTTTTTTACTAGATATATTTAAAATTCTATATAAAATTGTCAGTTTTTTCCGCAGCCTGTCAGTTGATATTATATATTTTAATTAAAAATTTGGGTCTGTTAAACGCATTTATAAATGCGTTGCATTATTCTTATTTTATTGCCGAAATTTATGCTTAATTATTTTAAAAAAATGTACATTGTATTTTGAGAACAAAACAAAAAAAACGTATATTTGCCGCTCGTGAAATGGAATGTATGATCGCATGTCACATCGCAGAGTCTATCGACTTTCCGATTGGATGCGTGTCTCGTTGATGGAACTATTATACTAATGCGTCGCTACCGGTAGCATCGCGATATGACGCACGCTGGAACTGTCATTAAATTTGTTAATTCACATATAATAAACTACACCGTATATAATGCCCGACAGCGTTAATAATTACATTTGCGATGAAAATTATTACCTTCCAACGGAAAGTTTCCTCCTAGCTTCGCTTTATACGAAGATAATAATTATGGAAATAATTATACAGAGCTGAGCTTTACATCGAATAAATATATATATATATATATATATATATATATATATATATATACACACACACACACACACATATATATATATATATATGAATATATGTATTTTATGTATATAAAAATATTATAAATATTATAAAAGTGCTTTGAAAAGATACTTACGCTTTTACTGGTCTTGATTTTTCGACATACATGTTGTAGAAGTATGAATGTGTGAATTATTTTCTGCATGCATCTACATTTTAATTATTATTATGATAATCACGCATAATAATTAATAGAATGATAATTACAAAAATATATAAAACAATATAATATAAAATAATATGAATTAATTTAATAGAATTTATATAATAATATATGTATATGTATACATAAATATTTTTGATATCAAAAATATAATATAAAATATAATATTAATATTTTTTATTTTTTAAATATATTATATTAATACTTATTTATGTACCTATACTTAAAATATAACCAATCGATATCAAAAGAAAGAAAACAAATACTTTAATACTTTTGATATTAGTAAATTTCGTATCGATTTTATACAATTTTGTTAAGAATAATTTTTGAACATGTATTGCTTGTTATCTTTGATTTAAATGTAATTTTATTTTATAATATAAACATATAACAGCATTAATAAAATACTAAATTACAAAGAGCTTCGTAATACGCACTTCTACTTTATAGACACAAATATATAATACAAACTCTTTGGAGTTGAAAAGCAAAAGGGATGTTGTGGTATGATCGCGGTAGGTAAAATTTAACGAACAAGGTGATCGGCTTGTGTTACAAAGCAACGAAAGAAGAGGCGTGAAAGAATTTTCGCGCCATAAAAGGAGAGGTAATTAGCGTCTGTTGAGTCAAGTATTAATTAAAATTGTTCCTTTAAAACGCGATGTCAGCGGTAATCAAGAGCAAAGAAAAACATGGGTTAACGAGTAGCTGCGGTAAGAGAAAAAATAAAAATCTGCAATTACCAAGCAATCTAATGAAAGAATTTTATATAGCTAATATGTGTAGGTTATTTATTCGTGCTCATTCTATAAAATCTTCAGAATCAGTTTACTCATTCTTTTATTAAATGCAAATAAAAATTTCCAACGCTGTCCATTTAAGTCGGCAAAAATGTACAGATTTATGTAAAAGATTTCGATCGAGAAAGACGTCAAGTAACACTTATAATCTATCGCTTTTTCAACTCTTCTCATCTATATGTATATTTAGGCGCGAACATATATCGGCATCTATAAAAACATATATATATGTATATATATGTATATGCACATATTGTACGTGAGATCCTCGAAATACAACAAATTTCGGCGTCGTTTTAAGTTAGATGAAAGACTGGCACCGAAGATATTCTTATGATATTACATTTCTAACTCAATATATACATATACAGCAACTATATATAGGATCGTCCGTTACATCGGCGTCCGCATTCGCTAACGCGAATTATTCGCAATTGGACCAATGCGCTCCGATTACATGGTCCCATTGACAGAAGAAAAATTTGATCTTGGACGCTAATAGCGACAAGAATCGAGGGGATATCGAAGCCGTTTTCAGCGTTCTCGCGAGTGGTCCTGAAGAAGCGATGAGGTACATTTCCAGCGCAATAATACTGCCAAGCTTACTGCGAAGACACAATGCAGTCCCCTTTACTAGCGGAAACATAGTCTCGGGATATCGTCTCGGCGCGGCGCATCGTGTTCGAATCTCCGAGAGAGCTAATGCACTTTTGAACAATACATTTTTACCGGTAACCGTAACACAAGAACAAAATCCGTCTCGAAGTCGAGCCATTATAAGAGAGTTCGGGGAATAAACCTCCCTTTTCTTTCTGATAGGTAAGTTGTGCCGTTTTGAGCCTGGAAAAGCTTGGTTATATTTACGTACCTGCATAAAAGTCCTGCATCCCTTTCCTGCGCGCATGAGTTTTCAAGTTTGAGATTCTATATTCCAAAAGCCGTCAGCGCGTCAATCCTTACTTCCGAAAGTTGAATGAGTTTTATTGTTTGATGTGTACAAGGCGCAAACGTAACGTCTATTCGTCGTATAATCCAGTATACGTCGTTAAATTGTTCTCCCTTTCTTTCTCGTTATTTATATTTCGAGCTTTGTCTCTTCTTAGCTTCTGGAGTAACACATTTTATATATAGTACAACTTTTACATTGTAATATTTTGGACTATAAAATGTTGTAGAGTTAGAATTTTGATGTAATATTTGAAAAATTTTTGCAAAAATGAAACCAACCTAGAGAGAGCGAGAGAGAAAGAGAGCTTGTTAAAGGAAATCGAAACAATTAAAAACAACAATTTAATCGATTTTTCTCAATAAAAATTTCCGACATCCGCATGCATATCCTACGTAAGTGAAAATTATATATCATACCCTTAACATGTTTTTGCCTTCGTTAAAATAATCCACGCGTTTGAGATTTTCGTTCGTGTTACATTTTTTCTCACATCCTAACATATATTTCAAATTTTAGAATATAGTATAGCAGCTTTTTTTTTAAAATATATGTATTTATAATTAATAAAATTCTATTTGCGTAAAAGCCTCCGGCTCGTCTCGTGCGCGGTAATCAATAATCCGATAACAAGATTACGTCGGGATATATACCCGAGACTAGTCGCAGCCGAGACATTGTTGACAGTCGCAACGAGTGGAGCGAATGTTCGGTCTACCGAGTGCATTCAATAATTGAATAACTGCAATAACGGAAACGCGGCGTTCGTGTTCAAGGCTTTTAAGTGGAAATAGTAGACGCGATGGTTAATTTTATTATAAATGAAATACCCCCGACATATTCCGTTCGACAGTGTGCGTGTGTTTCTTTCATTTGATACATACGAATTAATTTATCGCCTATTATCACGCAATTTTGCATGACGCTACGTTCATCTAACTTATCCAAATCGTTTTAATCTTTTTCGTCAATTGTTCCAAGTTTATGGAACATTACGTGCAATAAGATTTCTTCTAGATTTTTTTAATATCGGAAAATAATATCGCGCTCGAGTCGAATTTTTTTGGATTAGCGCAATTTTTTCATTGCTGTTTCTTTTCTTCGCAATCATTGCAGAAAATGTGTTTGCTGGTAATTTTCAGGTCGAACATTATATTAATATAGCTCTTCTCCGCCTTTGCGAAATGTTCTTTCTTCGTTCGGAGGATTTTTATTTTGAAAAGTGAGGAAAGATTCCAGACGATGGAAACGGACTTGCGACTCGTCGCCGGACCGAGAAAAAAACTTGGTACTTGTTTCCGTTACTGGGACAAGATTCTAGACACTGTTCTTTTTCACGAAATGACAACGGCCTTGAAAGTACCGCGAGAATTCCATTTTCAGAAAATCGACTAATCGTTTAAGAAGTATCGTACATCAACTTTTACCTGTTGATTACGGAATAGAAGAATGTATAAACGAGTTGAGAAATTTCGTTGGACATTTCTTTGCTAATTGAAAATATTCTATCTTAATCCTCTATTAAGCTATAGAAATGTTTGCATTCGTTTTGTTCGAAAAATATAATTATATCGTTTTATACGCGATCGCATAGAACGAAATATATAATACTCGGTGCGATTGTATATAACTGCATCAACCATCATTTACCGATCTTCTTTATCCTAACATCATTCGTTTTCAATTCGTGTCTTCCAGACGACGACATCGCAATAATTGCATTTCCCGTAACGTGGATGCGCCTTATTGTTGTTAGTCATCCTGACGCTTTAACGATGTAATGGGAGAGACGTTGCGACGCGAACCATGGATGAGATTCGCGTTACTTTCGCAATGCGGATGTGTCGAATACGCGTTCGCGCAGCGAGCTGAATTCCCGGAGACAAAACCGCGAAACAGAATCTCCGCCCGCTAGTTTCGTAGGAGTTAGACGACCACGCTTAAGTTCGTGCGCATTCAACCCGGAGTGCATAGCGTCGGCTAGAATATCATCCAAAGAAGTAGGACGACCGGAAGCAGCGTCGCGGCCATTCTGTCGCCACTCCCGTGATGCATCGCCGCCGGGTGTTCTTCTGAAACAAACGCCACGCTATAATGCCGTTTTGCTCGAGCAGCTCTTAGCAGATGCTATTTAAATCGACGTTTTTCTCTCCACGAGAGTGCGAGGCTCTCACTTTGTGAGGCTATCGCCTTTCTATTCGACGGGTTACAAGCTAAGCACTTTTTTATGAGACACGTTTCTTGTACCTCTGTTACGTGTCTGAACGTTTAGAGACTCTAAGATCATTTGAAATAATGTCTTTTTTGCGATTTTCAATTTTTCTGACTACCCGTCAAGTATGACAATTTGAAGAAAAATATTTTTGGAAATGATATGCTGACTGTTGAATTGTAAATATTATTTTTGCTGGAAATACTTATTTGTTTGACCAGTCTTGTAACAGGAGATAAGTAAAAGTCATCAGAAATTATTGCTAAACTTTCAAACGTGTCTACTTGTTCAACGTCGCGGTATTTGAGTGAGTTTGCTTCGGTTTTTTTGAAGAACGTCTTACTCAAAAGAGAGAGAGAGAGAAAGAGTTTATAAAAGAGTTTGGATGTTTGCACGTAGCCTCCATTCTAAACGAAATTGACATTTTTCCGTTACCATTGACTACATGGACCCGCACGCTGTTAGAATGAGTGTTATTGGGCGAGCACGTGTAAAGGCCGGAGTCTCTTTCGACCGCCTTCTGAATGAGTAAACGGCTCGAAGTCACGGGCCCCTTTTCCGTTACCAGGCTGATGCCACCCCTCGGCGAGTCGAAGTTAATCGCCTGCGAAAGAAGGAGTAGAAAAAGCACATCGGGTTACTTGCCTCTGACGTGACCAGCTGCGAATAGGGCCACTCTGTGGGGAATGTAGGAGAAGGAATGTATCAGCGCTACGACGGAAATCTTCTCTTTCTCAGACTTTTTCCGAATAGACAAGAACATATTTATTTTATGACCTCCTTGCTTTTATATAAAGTATGTAGTTGTATCGTACAATCATGACTATAAAGAATATTTAAAATATTCAATCTTACATAATATAGATTCTATGTTTTATTGTGCCTGTGCAAATTTTAACTTGAATAAATAAGTTTTCAAGCAAGAGAACATTTTCCACATTAATTCTACTGAAAAAATCTTATTAAAATTCAACAAAAAGATTCAGAATTTTTTCCCGAAATTATTACTTGCTGTTTTCTATGTACTTTGTCAAATTTAATATAAAATGCAGCATTGTAAGAATTTTATTTCTTAATAATATACAATTTTATAACAGAAAATGATTAATAAATCAAAAATGATAAAATTAAACGAGTAAAATATACAAACTATATGACTGTTTTTTAGAACCAAATTTATTACATCATTTAATTGATTAGGTTTAATTAATCTCATTGGAGAATGCACAGTCACAATTATAAAAAGTTAATTTGCGCATACATATGTTGATGAAAAGATATTGATTTTAGTTAACATTAATCATAAATTCAAAAATAAGTATTACTTAGATCTCTGAATTAAAATTAAAACTGAAATAAATAAACATCTCGATTGAAGCGCAAATGAAAGGCATTAGCGAAAATATAATAAATGAGAAATTTCAATTAAATATTAAAATGATATCACGACTTTTATCGCGATCTCTTTTTTTCTTTGTAATTCGATATCCATCTATTGAAGACGATTGAAGAATCGCAATGTAAGTACGAATAATTAGTCGACTCAGAAGTTAATTACTTGCTCGTGAAAGAAGATAGAGTCGACTGTCCCTGACGTGACTAGATGGAATTCAAGGCACTTTGCGGAAAGAGGCAAAAGTGGAACGACGGTAGGTGTCTTTCTTGAGTGGCAGAAAGCATTTCGAGACAAGTTTTCCGAAAATACAACTTGAAGCGACAACCCGGTTATTCTAGTTATATACGCATTCGCAGAAATAAATGTGAGGATTTTTAAACTAAAATGTAAAAATTAACGTTGCGAGAGATATTTGTCTTGTAATTCACGCGACCGATTTAAAATATATACACGTCCCGCGAAACTTTTGCAATGCTCTTAAATAAATGTTTTGTCTCGTTGAAAGAGAAACCCTGTTGTTGTAAATATGGAAATATTTGTATATTGACGCAAACGCGAAAGATAGTTGTTTCTATCTTGGAATAAAATAAATATTATAGTAAACGATTTTTAATTGTGATTTCCTTGCGCACTGCTTGAACAGAAATACATTATTCTGTCGAAATGCGGGAAAAAGCAAGCCGTTGTCATCGTCTTTCATAAATATCGTACGCTTGAAGAAACTAAAGCTTGTTACCAGCTGAAATCGATATACGTGTCAAGCCGACGGAAACACGGATTTTTTTTAATGATCGCGAGAAACATGAAAAATGTTTCTGTTTGTTTTATGATATCTGCAGTTTGCTCGCCAACTATTATCAGTTATGAGATTTTGAGGGATTTCAACTGAAAGCGTCTCTCATGACGTGAGTTTCAAACTCGATGACAACGTGACAAGAGTGATTTTCAGCAAGTGACGAGAATACACAGGTCATAGATCAAGGTCCACTTACCTGGTGATTGTGGCTCCAAATTATCGTCGATGGAGGTTCGAGCGCGTATCTCACGTAACATGTTAAGTTTATCGTACTGTCCTTGTTGATGAACAGATCTGGACCGCCGGCTATTTCCGTTACAGGTTCTGCAATGAAACAAGATTGCACGTAAAATATTTTTCATTTTTTCTAGAGGTTTTCTACTTCTAAAAATGTTCTTATATATCATTTTACTTGTGTTGCAAACATTCCTTGATTTTATTGCAAACACGAATGTTCATGGTATGTGGAGATTTACTAATATTTCCTTTTGAAACATACTGTAGCAGAATCCAACAGCTGAATATAATTTTTATTGTTGTTACGAGATTGTTCCTTCTATCAATTCGCGTATCCTTTGTTCCGTAATTTTTTTAGCGATTATTTGAAGGAGAATAAAAAATTGACAATCGGAATAAAATGCAATAACCACGTAGAAGAGCGGTCGCTCGACATTATACTCGTATTCACATATTATTTCGCGAAAAATAGATTCCGCCGTAGGAAGTACCGATAAAATCAGTACCATAGGATGACTGGAAATGTTTCTGTCCGAGAAATTCTCTTTATATGCCATCGAGAAGAAATCGTTGAAAACACGAGAGGATCACGGATTCTTTTGAAGTGGTCTTCCTTATTCTCGAACTCGAGAATTATCCATATATCGATCCATATATATTTCTATCCGGTCGTATCTCGAGGTGTTAAGAGCTCGTTTAATTTTCGCGGAGCGATACAGCGTGTCCGGAATTTTTGCCCCGTCGTTTCGTAAGAATCAACGAGCGAGAAACGTAACGCCGATGTCTTTTCCCTGTTCTATCCTCTTCCCACGCCCAACTATTAAATCTTGTTGCTGGAAATACTACCTCGGCGAATCTCCGCGTCCGCGGTACACAGAATCGTTACAGTCCGTCGGCCGAGATTCTCTGAGTTTCTCGGATTCCCATTGGTGGATCTCAATTATCTGACAAACCAGTTTCGAGACTTCCTCTGCCGTTTGCTGACCGACTTGCGGCGGTACTAGGAAATCTTCATTTCCTCCTCGGGAATGCCAAAAGCGAACTCTAGTATCGTCGGCGGCGATGGCTTATTACTATTTCATAAACGAGCTCCTTTTGTTGCTCTCGCCGGCATTTATTTCTCTCCGAGCTGCGGACTATTTAACTTCTTGATGAAGTAAAACATGAGCGAATTAAGCGGTTGCCTTGTGAAGAAATTCGGAGTGTCTCTCACCCGTCTTTTACTTCGTGGCGCTTTATTTCTCGTAATAACATTTGCAGCACGTGTAGCTTCATTTCAAGACTTACCGCGTTAAATGTAATTTGCGATACAAGACGTTGTTATAAACGAAATCGCTCGTACAGTATCTATTTCGGAATTTTATGCCTTTACCTCGCTTCCGTTTCTTCAAATGACTTCTGTCGAAAATTTTGATTTTTCTTTCTTCTTCTTTCTTCCAGAGCAAACAACATCTCGCATATTTTTCAACATTTTCAAGATAAATTTCCCCTTCAGATGTCGGTTTTCTCATTAAACAAGATCGCTCTTTGCATTCTTCACCTTTGCGAGTTTACGATTTCAGAGCGTAATTTTCTCTTGGGCTCGCACAGGCTTTGGCAGAATATCGCCGGCACTTGACAAAGTTGTGGATCGCAGAGACCACGGATTCTCCTTGGTATCGTCGTCTGAAAGTTAGAGAGAGAAGAGGAGGAAGCAGAAAGAGAGAGAGAGAGAGAGAGAGAGAGAGAGAGAGAGAGAGAGAGAGAGAGAGAGAGAGAGAGAGAGAGAGAGAGAGAGAGAGAGAGAGAGAGAGAGAGAGAGAGAGAGAGAGAGAACGAACATCGTTAAGATACGATGTTAACGAGAATACGAGGAGTTCGTCGTTAGCTGTTAAGAGAGAACGTTTTTGCTACGCTAACGATGTTACGTAAAATGGAGATCCTACGATGTTCTGGAATTCTCTTGTCGCGCTGCTCGATTGCAGGATCGCGCATATTTGTCAGTGGGCACTGTTCGTTCTGGTCGACGAAGCAGCTTTATTTTCTGTCCAGAGACACGTCCCTGGAGGATTGAGCGAACATTCCTGAAAGAGTGATACGGGACATCGTTCATTTTATTACAAATATTTCGAGAATTCAACGACTCTTCACAAATGGTAGCGCCTATTAAAAGAAACGATCAGTTATTTTGACAATTCACGTTGGCCAGTCAAGAGTAAAATCGTTGATTTTTATTTCTTTTTGATTATTATAGAGATATTTTTGACGACAAAAGAAAAAATTAACAAGTCTCTTATTTTTATACAATTAGTTTTAGAGTTGTATATAGAAAATCTTCAAAAAAGCAGCCAGTGTAAATTTGATGATAATCACATTACATTATTCATCGTATATACTAATCGATTTTATATATCACACGATATCTTTTCAGTTTTTCTTCTTCTTTATTTTGCTAACCAGAGAAACAATCCAAGCATACGATAAAGTATCGTGCCAATATTTATCGGCGCAAATATATTCATAAGGCGTTATGCATAAGATATATGTTATATTCGACGTCAAGAATGCTTTTAAGTTTAAGATTGTTCACAAATATCCTTGGCATGCTTTTGCTTTGCCAACGGATAGATATCTATGCTGGCAAAATATTCCGGAATTTTAGAAGAAGGTGAATTCAAACCGCGCGGCTGGCTTATCTTTAATCATCGATTCATCTTTGACCGATTACTGCGTCGCTTCACTCTTGAATGAAAAGTGGAAATAAATCGAGGATGGACCTCGCGTACGTGGTTTGACCGCGACTTTGTCCGCAATTGAATTACCACTTCGCCATGTTTCTCGCAAAAAATCTAACAAGCGTGGGAGATTGCGGGAATCGAAGCTTCCTCTGCGAAATACGGTTCAGATAAGGCCGAGAATTTCTCCTCCGAAAGAAAATTGTGGGTCATCCGATAATATTATCGGTGCTGTATCGTTACCAGATGCTTTGTTCGACATCGAATAAAGAAAAGAGGTGGTTTTTTAAGTTCGTTCTGTTTCGCGATTCGGAGATAAACATATGATACGCATCTTTTGATATATATATATAACACGTAATTATTTTAATATTATATTTATTTTATTTTTTAATTATCCGTTAAACATACAATAATATTATTTATATTATACTGTACAGATTATATACCTATACAGTTCGTTATATGCATAGTGCTTGCGTTAATTTTCTTCACTAATTTTCTTCTACTAATTTTTTTGGCATAAAACAAATGGTCCATAAATTACGTCGACAGTGAGACAACTGCGTTTCAGGTACGCAGTGACGGATCATTTTTCCCACCACTCGAGACTGATGTCCATACGTTTGTAATGATCAAGGACATTAATCTGACAGACATACGCAGCTGACGGTATATCGAGGGATAAGTCAGCGGTGGGACAAGTCCGGTATGAATGTGTGCAACCACCAAAAGAGAGAGAGAGAGAGGGAGAGAGAGAGAGAGAGAGAAAGCCGAACAATCGCAGTTACAGGAACTATGGACCTTATATGTTACGCGCCATATCGTCAGGAGTGAGAGTCGCGATTGGGCCCGCCAGCCTGTCTGTCCGTGTCCGGCATTCCTATACGCCGATAATGATCTTTCATTCGCGCCATTGCCGATGGCAATTGATTGCGCTCGAATGCAGCGATCGATGGCGGCCGCGTGGACACCGACCACTGTGTCCGGAATGTCATGTGTCCCAGGTATACACTAGTACGTATGCACGACACGCGTGCATATCCGCCGTCATGTCACACTGATTGCGCATCACTCGCCAGTATGTCACCGACGGAGCGTTGCGTGCGATTGTGCCCGATAGACGCGTCATTTACGGGAGGATAAAACGGCGATAAGGGAATATATATCTCCCGCGGTCCGAATGCGGCGAAGTAAATAATTGTTCGGGAGATTACGCTGCAGTTGCGCGTTAAGTTCTGCCGTTGCATTTCATTGTTTTCACATATACGCGACGTTATCTTTATATCATAATCCTATACTCGATATTCGTAATTGACACATTACAGATAAATTATTCAATTTAATAGATAAGATACCGTCATGTTTTATAATAGATGAGTTATTATTATATGTTCCAAACACGTGCACATATTTTACGGATTAATGTTTTATCGACGATGAGACAGCTTGACACTTCCGCCTTAATCGTTGGACACTAACGCGATCAGAATGCGTTTTCGAACATGAACCAGGGTACGCTCACCTGCATTACGATACTCCCCGTAGTGCAAGAGCCACACTCATAAGGGAACTACCGTTCAACTACCGAACAAGAGCCATTTACACAAAAGACGATGGTAATGGTAAGATTCTTAACTAGAATAGCTGCTTCAAGTTTCGGCCCCCAGGAGAAAAGCTGCTCGAGTATCTATACCCTAATAATGCGTTGTTACTGGCACTTACTTAAGCGCACTTGCGATCATTAGGAATTCTAATTGCTTTCGTAGCTGCCAATTCAACTCGCGAAATGATCGTGTTATCTCGTGGCGAGAATGGAGCGATTTTAACAGAGATGGGAAAAAAAGCGCATCCGTCTGAAAATTAAAAGTCTTGCATCCTGTCAAATAAGAACAATGTTTAAATTTTATACGATACCTTCTATATGTATAAATATAGTTCAATATTTTACAGAGAGAAAAATTTTCATCGATCAGAACTAGAGAGAGAGAAAGAGACGCGCGGTTTCAAGAATCACAATTGTACGATCATCGCGGCATTGCGCGTCCATAAATACTTTTTACAGACGTCTTTATCGGCAATTTACTCGAGCAAAACCAAACGAGCAATGGAACTGATCGGGCGATACGTTCCGTGGTATACATCGAACCCCCTCGACCGCGAAAACAATCCCGACGGGAACGTTCGATAAAAGCTCGCGGTTATTTTGAAACCGCGATCAGCTAACAAACCCGGAAAGCGTTATACCCCCACCGTGACGACGGACGTACCGATTTTATCGTCCGCGATAATCCCGCAGAATAGCATTTTCAGGCCGCGAGCAGAACCCTGGCAATCCGCGCGCGGCTTACAATGGTGTCCGGCACGACCGGC